GCAAAAACTTGGAAATGACAATACCCACGTAAAGGTGAATGGATAAGTTGTGATATATTCACATAGTGGAATATAACATATAAAATAATATGTATACATATTATTTTATACAATGTAATGTTGTCTTCAACAATTACATTTTCTGGTCTTGTTGCATCCTAACTTTTATTAACTGCATTATATTATAGAATTATTTAGAGGATTAAATGAGTTAATACATATAAATTAATTAGAATAGTACCTGGCAAGAGATAAGTAGTCAAATGTGTAGCTATTACAGTTATTAATTTATAAACTAAAAAGTTTTTGCTTTGTACTTGAATAGAAATAATGAATAATCCTCACTTCACTAAAATCTACTTCATCTCATATTAATACAAAACCTGTATTCTGCATGGAGGTCAAGAATTAAAAAAAAATAAAAACAAAAATAAAAAAATAAACAACTAAAAACAAAACCTATATTCATTAGTTTCATTCGTTCATCCTGCTACTTTTTTCTTTTTTCTTTTTTTTTTTGAGACAGTCTTACTCTGTTGCCTAGGCTGGAGTGCATTGGTACGATCTCGACTCATTGCAAACTCCGCCTCCCAGGTTCAAGCATTTCTTGTGCCTCAGCCTCCCAAGCAGCTGGAATTATAGGCACGTGCTACCACGCCAGCTAATTTTTTTGTTTGTTTTTTAGTAGAGACAGGGTTTCGCCATGTTGCCCAGGCTGGTCTTGAACTCCTGGCCTCAAGTGATCCACCGCCTCCGCCTCCCAAAGTTCTGAGATTACAGGCGTGAGCCCCTGCACCTGGCCTACTTCTTTATATTCTACAGATAGAATTATCTTAGTTATGTTGAATATATATTGGATGCAATTAATGACTCTGAGGTCCACCTTGCAGTTACAATACTGCTAATAGTGAAGTATTACCAAAAATGGTTTACTCTTCATATAAGATGTTTGGTAAATTAGTAATATGAATGACATTCCGAATTTAGAGTGCGCCTTTGGTCTTTTGCCTACCCACTACATATACGGTTAATATTTTGCATATATTTAAACAAGCAAAAGAATTTGGTATCTGGTTTATACAAAGTAAAGAATCCAAAAACATTTATTAAGCTAAAAGGCTAAACATAAAAGACAAGCAAAGAAAAATGACTAAACAACTATTTAGGAATTAAATGCTTTTATATTATTTTAACCTGCTTACCCGAAGCTTTAATGGGGCAACATTCTTCTGAGTTCCACTCCAAAGTTCCTGTACTAAATCACCATAGCATTTAGCCATATGCCCCTTCATACCAATGGGATTTGTCCTAGAAGTTTGAGAGGAAAACTTGTTGCCAAAGGTTCTTATAAATCACAGTCATGTGGGCACAAAAATGCCTAGCATCTCACATCAAAATATCTTTTCTTTTTGAAACAAGAGATGTATTCCTTGGCTTATTTCGTATTAAATAGGGTTGATAAGATAAGATCTTTCTCCCCCAGGGTGAAGAAAGAGGAAATGTAGGTGATACTGGGTTTATATCAAAGTCATAGGTTAAGAGGCCAATGACTCAAGAAAGATTACCTGTTGAGTTCATAAAGATGTCTCCCTGAGATAAAATACTGTGTCAGTGGCTGTGTGTTACTAACACACTGGATGCTTGAGTTCATGAAGCATGTGTTTCCCAGGTTGCTTAGACCTGTGGCTCCCTTTTCTGTGGGAACTGGAACAAACAATATGAGAACCAAAGCTTAGCTATAGTAATATGCCATGGCACAAACAGTTACCTTTATTCAATGAAATGATTTTTTTATAACTCTCATAATCAGCTAAACAGTGCCATTATTTCTCTAGCAGGTCTTTGAAATACTAGAGAAGGCTTTTCATGGAGTGTCTGGCAACAGTGATGATCCATGCTCATTTGTAACCCAGAAGCAGCAATCATTCTTTTAAATCTATGATTTTTCAGAATAAGTCAAACAATTCTTCTTCTAGTATGTCTTTTAAAACATACAAATTATTTAATTGCAGAGTTAGAAATTCAGAAAATAATTTGATGGTGGGTTTGCCAACATCAAATGCTGCTTCAGGAAAAAAGGAAAAGAAAGGGCCTAATCATTTTTGAACTAGAAAATCAAAAGTTGTTAGTACATTAATAGTTGAGAGAAGAAAAAAAAAAAAGAGTACATTTAAAATCATCGCTTTAAAAATAATATCCTTGTGAGACTTACCCTTGTGTCTATCTATTTTACTACTATTTGCTATAAAAGACATCTCCTCAGGCCAACTCATATCTTTGTTGCGAACTGGAAAGACAGATAGAAATGGGTTAATTTCTTATCTAATTTATCCGCTCAATTGTTTCTGTTTTATTTTTTTTTAAGACATCTTATTCCTAAATTAGAAGTTTAAAAAAAATCTAGTTAATTTTAGTTCATATGTCGCTTAATGATGGGTTACATTCTGAGAAATGCATCATTATGTGATTTTCTCTTTGTGTGTACATCACAGAGTTTACTTACACAAATCTAGGCTATATATGGTATAGGCTGTTGCTCCTTGGCTACAAACCTGTATAGCATGTTATTGTACTGAACACTGTAGACAACTGTAACACAATGCTAAGTATTTATGTATCTAAATATATTAGAACACAGAAAAAGTACAACTAAGAATACAGTATTATAATCTTATAGGACCACTGCTGTATACAGGTCTTTTGTTGAGTAAAACATCTTTATGTAGCACATGCCTGTAATTGGCTCTAAAACCATTCCAGTTCTTCATATTGAGGACTTCAAAGTCACTTGGTTTGAACAATTTATTCCCTCAATTACCTACTTGAAGTAAAATTATATACTCAACTATCTACAGAAGTAATTAAAGTTCAGAAAAAATGGAATTTCTTATACTTAAAACATTAGAAATATTACAATTCTTTCTTAAATTGTAACAACTATCAGAGTAATTTATTCCTTTTTTTTTTTTTTTTTTTTCCAGTCTGGCTTTGTTGCCCAGACTGGAGTGCAGTGACATGATCTTGGGTCATTGCAACTTCTGTCTCCTGGGCTCGAGTGATTCTTGTGCCCCAGCCTCCTGAGTAGCTGGGATTGCAGGTGCATGCCAGCACACCCAGCTAATTTTTGTATTTTTAACTAGAGATGGGTTTCACTATGTTGGTCAGGCTGATCTCAAACTCCTGACCTCAAGTGATCCACCTGCCTCAGCCTCCCAAAGTCCTGGGATTATAGGCATAAGCCACTGAGCCCGGCCTATTCATTTTAATACAAAGGCAGCCAGATGTGGTCATAAAACTTGATGAGAAAGGATACAATTAAAAAGTTTTTAATGTTATGTGCATGTCAGTGTGTACACTGATGGAATACACAAGTAGCTCTATCAGTGAGTAGCCAGTGTTGATGACTAATGAAAGCCTGTGCTACTAACTATGCAAGGAAGTTGTTCACCTTTTTTTTGTTTAAGAGGGAGTCTCAGTCTGTCGCCTAGGCTGGAGTACAGTGGCGTGTGCAGTGGCTCACTGCAATCTCCACTCCCAGGTTCAAATGATTCTTCTGCCTCAGCCTCCTGAGTAGCTGGGACTACAGGCGTGTCCCACCACGCCCAGCTAATTTTTGTATTTTTAGTAGAGTCAGGGTTTCTCCATATTGGCCAGGCTGGTCTCGAACTTCTGACCTTGTGATCCACCCACCTTGGCCTCCCAAAGTGCTGGAATTATAGGCATGAGCCACCGCACCCGGCCCAGAATTTGTTCTTCCTCAAACTCAAAGCAGCAGCTTGAAAATTTTAAGAAACTGTAAATTTGTAAACAGAATTCACTTATTTTTATCTACCATTCCCATCCCTTGTCAATGATTTAAAACAGTATATTTTTCCTTTCAAGCAATCTAAATTGTATGGTAGGATTGTGTAAGAGTTCAAAGGGTTTTTTCTTTTTTTTTTCCAAAGGCTTTCTTTACCATAAAAACATAATGATCAAATAATAGTTGCCTTGGGGAAAATTATAAAATGGGTTATTAGTGAGTAATTCTTTAAATTCTTCCCCCTGAAAATTTAATATAGATGCATGCTTCCATCTTGTACCTTCAATTACCAAGTGTTGTTCATCCTGGATTTTCAAATATTCCAATCTATGATCCTCATCATCCAGAAGAGTAAGGTAGTTCTATGTAAGGAGGGGGAAATGTTTTTGTTATTTGGTTAGTAAACTTGAAACAAATACGAGATAAAAAATAAGTAACAATAAAAAAAAAACTTCTTTGTAGTTACATAACTTATATCACAGATATCTGGCCTACTATAGTTGTTCATAAATATTTATAATTTAGGTGGCATTAGAGAGAAAGACAATGCATACTTCATAACCATTATCTCTCTTTTAAAATTTCATTAGGTTTTTGGGGAACAGGTGGTATTTGGTTACATGAATAAGTTTTTTTTTTTTTTTTTTGAGATGGAGTCTGGCTCTGTCACCCAGGCTGGAGTGAGATGGCTAGATCTCGGCTCACTGCAACCTCCGCCTCCAGGTTCAAGCAATTCTCCTAGTAGCTGGGACTACAGGCACACACCACCACACCCAGCTAATTTTTGTATTTATAGTAGAGATGGGGTTTCACCATGTTGGCCAGGCTGGTCTTGAGCTCCTGACCTCTGGTGATTCACCCACCTCGGTCTCCCAAAGTGCTGGGATTACGGGCGTGAGCCACTGTGCTTGGCCACACCATTAGTTTATAATGTAACAATAATCTTTGTAAAATGGTACTGTCCATGGTGATCAATTGCTATTATAGATCTCAGAGAAAAATATTACAAGTATACATACAGTAATTTAAAAGATGAACTTTTTACTGATTTCCTAGACATGGCTTTTAGCATAATTACTACAGGCAAAATCCCTATACTCAAGAAATATAATTTAACACTTAGTCTTGTGTTCTCTTTGGCAGCACATGTACTAAAATTGAAACAACACAAATAAGATTAACAAATATCTTTTACTCTTTAAAATGAAAAAAATACCAACAATCAGGCTCTTCGTGAGTCTGAGATGCCTCTCACCTCACTGTTGTACAGCCACAGGCGCATATCTTCCTCTTTAATGCGCAGTCTTTGAGACAGATATTCGTGAATTTCCTTGATGGTCTGCATTCGACTAAAACAGCCTGTATAGGCTAATACTCGCTTTAAAGGTGCATTCGGAGAAGGTACATTTCCTATGGTTACAGCAATCACAGCAAGAAAAAAGGCAGATGTGAAAAAGAAGCACACCTCTCAGCAATGGGGACCATACTATTTTAGAAAATAATGATGAGAAATGAGAATTACAAGTGTAATAATTGTATAAATGAAGACTACCAAAAAGCTTTAAAATGCAGACAGGAGACCCAAGTTTGTTTTTGTTTGTTTGTTTTTTGAGACGCAGTCTCACTCTTGTGGCTGGAGTGAGTGGCACAATCTCAACTCACTGCAACTTCCGCCTCCCAGGTGCAAGCGATTCTCCTGCCTCAGCCTCCTGAGTAGCTGGGATTACAGGCACGTGCCACCACACCCAGCTCATTTTTGTATTTTTAGTAGAGACGAGGTTTCACCATGTTGGTCAGGCTGGTCTCAAACTCCTGACCTCGTGATCTGCCTGCCTCGGCCTCCCAAAGTGCTGGGATTACAGGCGTAAGCCCCTGTGCCTGGTCTTTTTTTTTTTTTTTTTTAATAGATGGAGTCTCGTTATGCTGCCCAGGCTAGAGTGTGGTGGTGTGATTTCAGCTCACTGCAGCCTCCATCTCCAGGGTTCAAGCAATCCTCCCACCTCAGCCTCCTGAACAGCTGGTACTATAGGCGCATGCCGCCACACCTGGCTAATTTTTGTATCTTTTTAGGTGGAGACAGGGTCTCTGACACGTTGCCCTGGCTGGTCTCTAACTCCTGGGTGCAAGCAGTTCACCTGTCTCGGCCTCCCAAAGTGCTATGATTACAAGTATGAGCCACCACGCCCAGCCTTCTAAGTATTTTAAAGTGAGTCCAAAGCCTCAACTTTGAAAAGATGAGAAAAGGCTCAAGGCCCAAATAACTGGCAATATTTGGATATCAAGAAGAGCAGGAACATGCCAAGAAACAACTGGCATTGATATCTGGCTGCACTCAGCTGGGTCACAGTCAATAGCAAAATGAAATAAAACTCAGCGGAAAAAAAAAAATTAAGACATGGAGTTTGTTTGTTTTTTTAAAACAGCTCAGTGGAGGAGATAAAATGGGACTGGATTTGAATCCCACAGACAGATAATTGGATTCACCTGGTCTGCTTTCCTACACTTTCTTTGAATCACTAATCCCATCACTCTCAGTCATTAAGTAGGACAATTGCACAACAAAACATATGTATATCTATTACATATCAATTAGAAAAAAAAGAAAATTTGACTTAAAATTCTAAATAGGTATAGATTCTACATAGCCAAACAGAGTTTATTATTATCAACATTATTTGAGATAAGGTCTCATTCTGTTGCCCAGGCTGTAGTGCGGCATGACAATCATGACTCAGGACGGCAGCGTCAACCTCTCTGGCTCAAGTGATCCTCCCACCTTAGCTTCCTGAGTAGACAGGATCTCCCTATGTTACCTAGGCTGGTCTTGAACTCCAGGGTTCAGGCAATCCTCCCACCTTGGCCTCCCAAAGTGCTGGGATTACAAAGTGAGATTACAAGTGTGTGAGCTACCACACTTGGCCAAAGCAGAGTTTCAAAACGAAGCCAAGAAACTTCCCATGACCAAATAAATAAATAAGTGCCCTATAAGGAAAAATTGTATTAGCCTGTCCACCCAGTAAGATGACAGCAGACATGACCCTGAATTCCTGAGGGCTAAAAACGAAGAGTGGTAATACAGGAGAAAACAGTAAAGAGTGAAGGAAGAATATATCAATCTCACTACATACTTCAAAAGAGGAGGGGTATGAAATGACGAGAGATTACGGAAAGCAAAGAGAGATGGCTTTAATAAACTCATTAAACCCTGGTTAACTATTCAGCCAAAAATCTAGACAAAACTGTGGATTAAAATAGTCATCTCTGCCTCTGTGAAGCTGTATTTTATTGAGCAACCCAACAGAAAAATATAAACTTATCAATATAATATACAGTCCAAATAATTTTCTACCCATTCAATCATGACTTAGCTTTTTTGTTCCTGAAATGTGCTTTTAGTGAGTCTTTCCCACTAAATAATGCTGATTAAAAATACTGGCATCATCTATTTTTTAAGAACTTCTGAAAAGGAATTCCCTCACCTAAGACAGGCTAAGAAGTCATCTAAAAAACAATGACTTCTATAACCTTGTCTGTAGAAAAGGCTACATTTAAGTCATTGTAACTGTGACAAGGTTTGAATACTTGTCACTTCAAAAGAAATAAAAGAGCCTAGTAAACAGTTGTAATAAATTGAGTATTTGAGAAAGATGAACATTATGTTATGGCAGAATGAAACCCAACCCATGATCAGTTTTTAAACATATAGCAGGCAAATACTTTACAATAAGCAAGCAAAGGATAATCTCTAAAGAAAACAAAAGCAAATTTCTCCAATTACACATCTTAAGATTAGTTATAAGATTACAGCAAGAAAGCATATTTTTATAAATTTAAAAATGATTAATGATTGATTTCACAACTAATTAGCAAGGAATAAAATTTCAAATTATAAACAAATTTGGAGTATCTGAAATATGCAGTTCTAGGATTCAGACGCATATACAAGTATAGTCTTCAAGTCAATCTCTATTGTCCTAAGTCACAATATAAAAATTTGAGTTTTAGAAAGTTTTTATAGCATAGCTCATTAAGCAGGCAGCCACTTATACATAATTTTATGCCTTTGAATAGCACCAACAAATCTAGTGGAATTTATAGAAGCAGCAAAAATCTAGGATCAGCACAAGAGTTACAAAGAATACCTACTAAAAGCGCAACAACACATCTTGCCTCTCATGTTTTCTTTCATTTTTTTTGTTTGAGACAGAGTTTCACTGTATTGCCTAGGTTGGAGTGCAGCAGTGTGATCTCAGCTCACTGCAAACTCTGCCTCCTGGGTTCAAGTGATTCTCATGCTTCAGCCTCCCGAGTAGCTGGGATTACGGGAACCCGCCACCACAACTGGCTAATTTTTGTATTTTTAGTAGAAGTGGGGTTTCATCATGTTGACCAGGCTGGTCTCAAACTCCTGACCTCTGGTGATCCACCAGCTTCAGCCTCCCAAAGTGCTGGGATTACAGACATGAGCCACTGCACCTGGCCTCATGTTCTTTCAAAAAGAATTGAAAAAGTTGCTATGGGTGCCATGGAAGCAAGGCTAATAATACTTCTAATCAATGGAAAATTAAGTCAAGAATGTTTCATAAGGTTCTATCTCACTGTTCCTTTTTAAAAAAAATGGTTTTCTTTTTAAAAAAGAATTTTTTTTTAGAGATAGGCTCTTGCTCTGTTACCCAGGCTGTGGAGTATAATGGCATAATCACAGCTCACCACAGCCTTGAACTCCTGGACTTTAGAGATCCTCCCACCTCAGCCTCTCGAGTACCTGAGACTACAGGGCACACTACTATGCCCAGCTAATTTAAAACTTTTTTTGTAGAGACAAAAAAAGTCTATGTTGCCCAAGCTGGTCTCAAACTCCTAGCTTCAAATGATCCTCCCACCTCAGCCTCCCAAACTGTTGAGATTACAGGCATCAGCCACTATGCCCGGCCTCACTGTTCTTTGATTTTGCTGTTTTCCCCAAAAACAAAGTTTGGTAGCTAGAGACCAATACTTTGCTATAATTATTGCCAAACACTATTGAAAGAATTCTTACCAAATACTATTGAAAGATTCTTCATATATTATATGAATATAACCTTAAATGAAGATACAAAACTAACCCTGTTCAATTTCAAAGGAGAGCTGGTACTTATTTTGGTTGGGGTTTAGAGGTAGTTCTTGCATACTAAGTTATTTTAATTATAATAACATTCTGGCATTGCTAACATAGTCTGAGATTTTGTATAAATGGTTGCTCATTATTATTATCATTATATTTTGAGACAGAGTCTCACTCCGTCACCCAGGCTGGAGTGCAGTGGTGCGATCTTGGCTCACTGCAACCTCTGCCTCTTGGGTTCACGTGATTCTCCTTTCTTAGCCTCCCAAGTGGCTGGGACTATAGGCACGTGCCACCATGCCTGGCTAATTTTTTTCGTGTTTTTAATAGAGACAGGATTTCGTCACGTTGGCCAGGCTGATCTTGCACTCCTGACCTCAAGTAATCCACCCACTTTGGCCTCCCAAAGTGTGGGATTACAAGCATTAGCCACCGTGCCCAGCTTATTATTTCTTTACTGCTTAAGAATAATTTCAAGTATTTGCAAGGTAAAAGCACAGAGAAAGTCTTGCCTATCAATAAAGTTTAATCTTACAAAGAAATGAAAGGGGAACTTTTTGCATGTTATACATTAAAATGAGAACTAATTTATATGTCATTTTGATATGCTTGGTGCTCTTTCAAAGCAAATATATCACTTAAATTTTCAAAAATATCCCTTTTGCTCTGTACTATCTCTTTTTTTTTTTTTTTTTTTTTTTTTTTTTTTTTTTTTT